ATATATATATATATATATATATATATATATATATATATATATATATATATATATATATATATCTGTATATATATATATATATATATATATATATATATATATATATATATATTTATATATATATATATATATATATATATATATATATATATATATATATATATATATATATATATATATATAACGTTCTGGCCTTTCTTCCGGTGGTTGGAATTTCGAACTAAGCGCTTTATTTCTTCCACCGGGGTAGATCAGACAATATTGACGTTGTGAATATAGCAATGAATATGTAGTATAAATAAAACAGAACAATTATAATAATATACTGCACTAAAAGAAGATTCGTTCTTACCGTAGAACTTACTAACCTCGACTTACGCCTTTTATTTTTCTTATTAAGTCAATACCGTTTTTTACCTTTTCCTTTAAAAGAACCGCTTTCAGGCTTCTCTTTATATTCTCGGAATATTCTTTCTTAATCTCTAAAACTTGTAAATTGTTTTATTTTGTCCTTGACCGCGGATAACAGAAACAACATTTTTATTCTCTTTGCATACAATTGTACGCGTATTTGTTGCTGGTAATGATAAATATAAGAACAATTGTACGCATGTAAATAGTCTATATAATAATAACGCTTCATCTCAGAACTTCAGAAGGAGGAACACTATAAACCATGAATAATAGGGACTACTATTGTTTCTAAACGTCATATTTAATCATTTTAACGCCATTTCGAAAACTTTTCCTCTGCCTTTTGGAAAAAATTTCTCTTTGGCCATTTAGTGCCTTTTTTCCCCAAGCGAATTAAGATAACTAAGCCTTCTAACACATTATCTGCCTCCTTTATTTCTCTAATCTCATCCCCTTTCCCATACTCTAATTCCCGCTTGTCCCTTTCATCCCTCCTTAATCAACATATATTCCACACATTGCTGGATTTGCATTCTCCATGAGTCAGAGTGCATTTGATTCCAGTTTACCATCAGATCGCATTAACAACATCATTTTCTACCGTTTTAATCGATCAGAATTTCACGAAAGTCTATTCCCCAAACAAAACCTGATATGAATATCACGTCCGCTTACATATTTTATGCATAGACAGAACTATAAATAGATATTTACACATATTTGAAGATTGGCGAACAAAGTGGAAAAGCTGTTTTATGTGACAACGCGTTTCGCCGATGTTTCATATATTCGGCGTCTTCAGGATGGAATGAAAGGCAAAACTGTGTGTAAGGAAAATGGGATCTTTGAGAATAAAAGGGATAATAAATTAAATTTAAATTTACCTTATCAGATCCGACGACCAGAGACTGGAAATTGTATATTTTTATACATCAGAACTGCTAGTGTATGTTAGATTTTAAATCATCCCACTTCGAGTAAATCTCTCTTTTATAAAATTAAACTGAAATATTATTTAGACTCATTCGAAAGTCATTGTTTAGACACGATGTTTCGGCCAAGTAACAAGATTTTACTAAATCGTCACACAATACAAGGATCAAGAGCCACTCAAGGTAGGGGTTTATTGAATGATTTTGTTGAAGATTAGTGAGAAGTGCATATTATGAGAATATTTAGGATAGATAACGGTTAAGGTTTAACCTGAAGATGTTAAGATCAAGGTTATCGAAAAATCATCTTGTCGGGTGTTTGTTCTTGGAAAGAATCTGTCCGAATAGATCTTCCTTCATACCAATGGAATAGGCAGGAAATAATGACGGTCGGTTCAATGTTCGTGGTATGGTGGGTCCTAGCTGTGAAGTTCTGGAAGAGTTGAACTAAGGAGTGTAGATTTGCCATGAAAAGAGCAATAGAGTAGCAATAGTAACGTTTCGTTTGTTGGAAAGTAGTTCCAGGGTGGAAAATAGTTAATCCCCACGAAGACACTCTTGAAAAGATTGTACAGATATGGCTGCAATGCTCCATTTATAGTCTGATTTGACGCTTTAAAATTTAGCGCATAACAGCCTTTCTGGGTCAGTACAAAAAAAAAAAAAAAAAACGGCCATTTTTTTTCCTAGCCTCTTTGGCAATGGATCGTTTATACGATTTCTATTTGAAGTTTGGAATGGGATTGAATCCTCATAGACTCTCAAGGAGCGTCATTGTGAGTACAATTGCTCATCATGGCTGACAAACATTCGAAGTCGGTCCGGTGGTGATGACGGAACGTCACTAGCCTCGTTTCGTATCGACTGAGAGTTACAAGTCAATTTGTCCGCCATTGTTAGATGAGAGGATAGATCTTCTACAAGGTTCTGGTCATGGAGACCTTGCAACCATAAACCTGGGTCTGCATAGATATTTACTAATGGTCTGAGAATGTTCCTGGGTATTAACAGCATATCAAATCCTTATGGGTCATTTAATGCAGAAATTTAATTTTCTTGAGAGCTTGGAAGTAATAAAAATATGATATGTTATTACGCTTTCTCAGTTGACTATATGGTAGATAACACTCAGCTTTTGTGCGTATACATGTTTGTGTGAGTATAACTATTAGAGGTGGTGATAGCAGAATATTATATAGATTAATTTCATAAAAAAAATTTTATGTTGGTTGTTTGTTAGTATTTTAAACGGATTTGATTGAAGTCGCTACTATTTGATCGGATGCGCGTATTGTTGGTAATTTTACCATAAATATTTTATTGTTGACTTCAACAAAAGCTATTCTGATTTTGATTCCTAAACGTTCGTAAACGCGATATCCTTTGAAGATTCGATCCCTTAAGTTCCATTTTAAACATACAAAAAATAGATTTTTGAACGAGTATACTGTATAAAAAATATTAGGACACATAATGAGGAAAGATGGCATAGAGAATTAAACACTTACATGGCATATGGAATGTAAGCGAAGCAGGAAAACAGCGACTAAACTACGATAAAATAGCAGAAACGATTGCAAGGAATAAGATTCACAAAACAAGGGAAGTTGGAGAGAGCCATGAGCGACCATAGTCTGAAAGAACATAGAATAGAAGAAGAAGAAGAAGAAGATCGAAGTATTCTTTTTTTTTTGTAAATGCTTTCTCGCATCTGATGGTCAGGTTTATCTAATGCTTCATTGAAAACACACGGCTCTAACGCCACTTAATTGAGAAAATCGATTTGAATCGGTTCGAAATTTAAGTTTACAAATTCATCATCATTATTAGTGGTTATTAAAACTTTTGATGTGCTTGAAATAGAACAAATTTTATGCCCCACCTCGATAATATTAATTATAACCAATTGGGTGTGTACTACATTTTTAAAACTGTCAGAAGCAACCAAAGGCATTGCTTTCAATCTTGGAATCACGACACAGCAAAATTAAAAAAAAAAAACAAAAAAAAAAAAACGATCGGTGTTATATTGTCTTTGATTTACATAGTAAGTAGATTTAGTTTTTACGGTGTGAAATTGATAGCCCGCACGAAAAGTTGGTTTTTGAAATCAGAATTTCTTGGACTGGTTGCTAGCCTTGTCCAGAAAGCTCAGTTTGCTATTAACTCACAACTGGTTGCGAAAGATGTGCTCATAAATTTCCAAGGACTGGAATCGACAATTACCCGGGGATGATTACACCGCTATGTCTATTACAAAGATTTTTGTTTTTTATATATATATAGAAAAAACTTTTCTGTCTGCCATCAATATGGCTGAAGCTAGACTCTTGGAGAGCATAAGGAAAGTAGCAAGGGAAGTTGGGTCACTGTGTTGTGCCAGAGAATCTTTCGTCAGAATCCATCTTGCACATTTACAAATCTACTATTCGTCCGTGCATTGAATACTGCTGCCATATCTGGTCTGGTGCTCCTGCTATTCATCTGAAGGTTCTTGAGAATATCCAAAGAAGGATCTGTAATGTAGTCGATTCTGACTTGGCATCTCGACTTCAGTCACTTTCTCACCGAAGTGACGTGGCTTCCCTATTTTCATGGCAACTGCTCTGACCCCGACTACATGAATTTAAGCGTGTTACTAGATTGGCATTTAGGTCCCACTCGTTTATTACTGAAATAGCTAAATGCAACCGCCACTACTACTCCAAAATTTCCTTTTCTCGAACTTTCCAACTGTGGAACTCTCTTCCATTTACTTTCTTCCCTGATAACCACAATCTTGAAAAAATTAAAATGTAACGTCAATCGGTATTTTCTGTCTTCTTGAATACGGTTTCATCTTTTGTCCTTTTCTCAATAATCCCTATATTCAGTCTTTTCTCTCAATTTCACTCTCTATAAGCCCCTTTGCGGCTGAGTGGCATTCCCATCTTCCTTGGAGTGAAATGATTAAAATCTATTCTCCTGAAAAATTTTCTAATAATGTTCAAAGTCTATGATCAATGAAGAAACATAGAATTAAGGTCATTGACAAGACAGTAAATTGATTTGAGATATAAATATTTGTTGTGTGTTTTTGCTTGTAAATGAACAAACCAATACCCAAGGAAAAATAAGGAACAAAAAAAGAAAGAACTAAGACCATGGAATTGAGGCGAAAACAATCGTCCAGAATCCAAGTTCAGAGTCCAAAGAAAAAAAAAAAAAAACCACCAAAACGAGTAAAGCAAAAGTAACTAAGTAAAGTGATCAATACGCTAAGTAGTGCAAATCTAACTATGGTCTTAAAGAGCCAGGCAAACCTACCCTGACGATCTGCGTAGGTGAAACCTAGGTAGGTTTGCCTGGCATTTTAGGTTCATAGTTATATATATATATATATATATATATATATATATATATATATATATATATATATATATATATATATATAATAAAAAGTTAGTGGTCAGAGTTAAACTAGACCAGGACAGTAGTAATAAAAGGTGCTCAATACACATAAAAAGAGAAAGTTTCAACATATACAGCTTTTAAGTACAGAAAATCAGGAAATTCAATATATATTGAAAGAAACAAAGGAGAAAAAGAATGAACGAAAAATAAATAGATATTTATGTGTGTTTGCAAGAAATATTTTTGGTAAGCAATGATAACAACGACAGAAAGAAAGAAAGAAAGAAAGAAAGAAAGAAAGAAAGAAAGAAAGAAAGAAGAGGTGAGGTAAAGGAAGAAAAAGAAAAGTATAAAAAAGCAGAAAGAAAGAAAGGAAAAAGAAGAAAAAGAAGAAGGAAAGAAGAAAAACATGAAAGAAAAGAAATATCGAAAAAAAGAAATTAGGGAAAAAAAGAAGGAAAAAGTAAAATGATTGAAAGAAAGAAAGAAAGAAAGAAGATAAAAGAAAAAAGGAATGTAAAGTGAAATAGATGCTAAAATAGAATGCAAGAAAGAAAGGCTGAGAAAAATAAAGGAAAAAGATAAAAGAAAGAAAAAGAAAAGAAAAAATGAATGAAAGGCGATAAGAAAAATAAAAGGAAAGGAATTTAAGGAAAAAAGAAAGAAAGATAAAGTAGTAAAACCAAAATAATGAAAGAAAAAACACAAAAGAAACAAAAAATGAATGATAAAAAAGTGAAAAAAATAAGAGAGAAAGAAAGAAGGGAGGAAGACAAGAAATAAAGAAAAAACAAAAATGAATGAAAAAAGGATCAAGGAATGAGAGAACATCAAGGAAAAAAAAATGAATGAAAAACAGAAATACATCTCAAGAAAGAAATTGGTTGGATAAAATAAACAAAGCGAAAAGTGCAAGTAAAACAGGGAAATCGTTCAAGAAAAACATGGAAAATCCACTGAAAATAAAATAAAAAACAAATACACGACAAGAAGAAAGAACAAAAAGCAATGAATAAAAGGAAGAGGATGAATATTTAAAAAAAAAAAAAAGGAAAAAATAACGAAAAGCAAAGGAAAGAGGGAAAAACCGAAAAAATATTTAAAAAAAAAAAAGATGGCGGAACGCTGAGTCAGAAAGTAAAATGTATAAAACGTGTGGCCAGCGCTAATAAAGGGTTGTGAGTTGTGGTTGGTTGAAATGCTGGTTGGGAAGGGCGAAAGGAATGCGTTGTTTGTAGTCAGGGAACACAAATGCATTTGGTCTGATACGCAACAATAATAGTCTAATTACATTTAACTGTGAATCAATGAACATTTAGTATATTGAGGCAAACCTTGTAGCAAACTCACACCCCAACAAGATTTTCCTGAATTCTTATCGACGCATTTTCTAAATTTATTTTTTGCTAGTTTGTAATTACAGTTCATTATTCTATTTTGTTTTTCTTTTCTCCATAATATTTTTATTTGGGTATATAAAAATGGAGTTTGTTTATATATATATATATATATATATATATGAAGAAATATAGTCTTAAGGTCTGCTATATTTATGGGGTAAAGTGCTCGATATCAGATATAGAGCGTGTGGAAATATAAAAGTGAACATAGAAGTCAACACTCAAAAATCAATATATATATATATATATATATATATATATATATATATATATATGTTTGTGTGTGTGTTAGTGCGTAAAAGTGTGTGTGTATGTGTGTATAAAAATATTAGAGTATATCTGTAAAGGACAATATGAATAAAGACAAAAGGAAAACTTACCTTATAGTGATTTTCCAAGCGTAGCTTAGATGTGGCACAAGGCCGAAATTATTGGGCACCAAGTGAGGATCAAACTTACTATTCAGTCGTAATTGTTCTAACGAGACAAGCTTGCTAACCATTACACCGTCTTGGGGCACCCAGGAAAACTTATCTTAGACGACGCGTTTCGTCCTTTACCTTGATAAAGCCCCCAGAGGACATACGCGTCGGCCAAGATAAGTTTTTTCTTTTTGTCTTTATTCACACACACACACTCATACACACACACAAATATATATATATATATATATATATATATATATATATATATATATATATATATATGAAAATATATAGAAAATAGGAAGGAACTGGTTAGGTAAATAATCCAAAGTCCCTTAGTATTTTAATTATTTTTAAAAATAGTGCCTCGATACAAAGTAGAGCATAAATATAATTACTTATTTAAAATGATTCCAAAACGCTACATAAGAAGTCTCATGTTTCAAACAAGAGCCGAATATCAATATAATTATTTAAATTAAATTGAGTTAAGGTAAGTTTTGTTCCATCTTCAAGCGAAATTTTTTGGAAATTTCGCTTGAAGATGGAACTGAGCTTTTATTATATATATATATAGGATGTCCATAATGTCTCTTTACAATATAAAAAAAGTACTAGAGAAGCAAATAAACAAATAGGTATTTAGAACTTGTTACAACATGAGGAGTAGTTATTGAGTATCATTAGTTGCACGTAGCACATCAAAATGGTACTCGATTTCTTGCCATGTTCGCTGTAGCACAGCGTCATCAATGGTGGAAATGCCATCAGTGATTTTTTTTACTTTAGATCAGTGATGTACGGTATCTTTGATACACGATAACGTAACCCCATAGAAAGAAGTCCAGGGGGGGTGATATCTGGTGAATGAGTTGGCCAGGGAATTGCGCCATTCCTTCCAATCCGCCGCTCTGGAAATGTTTGATTTAGGAACTCTCGAACATGCAGTTCCCCCTCCCATCTTGCTAGGAAATGACGGTTGGTTGAAGATCATATAGTTGCGGTGCCGCATCAATTGACTTTGCAATACATCATGTAAATTGCAATGTGATTTCATGGACATCCTATATATATATATATATATATATATATATATATATAATAAAAGGCTCAAACACTAATATTCCATGGTTATAATTTATTACATTGGAATCGTAATCACGATCCAATTGATCAGACCTACAAATTCAAAAAGAAATCGGAAAATATAACGCCGTGTATAAAAAAATAAAATTTTAATGAGAGTGTATGTGTGGGAGGGGGAAACAAATGTGGGAGGGAAATGTATGAAAACTCTTCGAAAGCTTTTCGAGAAATTTTCATATTCGTCCTCCTATGAAAATTCTATGAAATATATATATTTACGCACACAGTGGAACCTCGGTCCACGAATTTAATTTGTTCTTAAAGGCCGTTCGTAATCCGAAATGTTCGTAAACAGAAACTGCTTTTTCAATATGAATCAATGTCGAGAAAAAAAAAATCCAAGTCCAATAAAATTGGAAGCGAAAATCAAGGCACAACACACGAATGTAAACAAAACGGCGGTCGAGACAGAAATTATTCCGATCGTCTTAACTCAGTTCAGCAATGTTGTTCGAGAACCGAAATTCTATTCGATAACCGAGGAATTTTCATCTCGAATTTTCTCTTCGAACACCGATTTGTTCGACATGAGAGACATTCGAGAACCAAGGTTGCTCTGTATATATATATATATATATATATATATATATGGGGGTGAGAGAGATTGTATGTGTAAGTTTTTTTTCTCTCTCTCTATATATATATATTATATATATATATATGTGTGTGTGTGTGTGTAGACAGAGAGAGAGAGAGAAATGCGTGAATTTGCGTTTGTATATGAGAGGGATAGAGTACGTGTCTGTGTATGTGTTTCTGTGTTACATAAGACAAAGTATATATATATATATATATATATATATATATATATATATATATATATATATATGTCTGTGTGTGTGTGCTTGTGTTTGCATGTGTGCGTTCGTGTGCTTATGTGTGCGTGTGTCTATGTCTGAGAGAAAGAGAGAGAAGAAATGTAAGTATTCTTGTTCTTCTTACTTCTGGCTAATCTCTGAAACCTAATCTAATTTTGTCGAATAATTATTTCATTGTTTACTTACATTATCTGTTTTGTCTACGGTAGTGAGCGTTCCTTTGAGCAGAATATTCAAACGACAGGAATTTTTGTCTCGTCTCTGCCTTCAGCTCTTTTTGAAACAGTGACTTGTTGATCCGTATGCCCCCTTGTTAGAATAATAATAATAATAATAATAATAATAATAATAATAATAATAATAATAATAATAACATTAAACAAAGATAATCGCCCAGACATCGTGGTCAAAGGCAACAAGAACAAAATGTGTTTTCATATTGGCGTGTCAGTCCCTGCAGATTGCAATGTATCTTTGAAGTTCTTCAAAAAATATCAAAATGCAAGAATCTTGAATTGGAAATTTCAAAAATGAGGATATCACTAATTTCAGTTGTAGTTGGAGCCCTCGATTTAATTGGAAAAGATTCCGATAGGCTCACATTTTAGTCCAAGCCTTAAAGAAATACAACAAATTTTACTCACACATTACGAAGTGATTTATCGATGTAAAATATGTAGTTTTTATTTTATTTTTTATTTTTATTTTTTTTTCACAAAAAATGTTCGATGGAAAATGTCATGAAGCCATTTCTGACCTTAGGTCTCTGTTTGGGACCCAGAAGGAAATATGTATACAACAGAAATCCAGTGAGAGATGGTATGAACATCAACCAGAACAGTTATTCAAAACAACGATGTAACTATCCTCTGGGATATGCCAATTCAAACTGACACGGAAATAAAAGCCAAAAGACCTGATATTATCATAAAAGACAAGAATTTCAGGAAGTGTATGCTTATTGACATAGCAGTACCATCTGAGAGAAACACCTCCATGATAATTATCGAAAAATTGTCCAAATACAAGGACCTGGAGATGGAGTTTAACAGGATATGGGGAATGAATACTGAGACTGTACCAATAGTAATCGGAGCACTGGGCCTCGTGAGAAAAGGAATGGACAATATCTCAGGTAACATCAACATACAAATGGCTCAGAAAATCGCCCTACTAGGAATATCCCATATATTAAGAAAAATGCTTTCAATTAAATGACAATTTTCCTATGGGGCCTAAAGACCGTAGTTTAGACCAGGTTCTACTGCATACAAAGCAGGAAACATAACGTACACAAATAATTATAATAATAATAATAATAATAATAATAAATGGGCGTAGAGATGCAACTACAGCACAATACACCGGCTGAAACTGCAAAATACCTAAAAAAGACAGCAAAGACGAATGCAACCGACCAGTTACAGAAGCGATGGCAAGATAAACCGCTTCATGGCCAATACTCTGCCCGTACCAAACAAGCTTGCGTTTTCCAGGTACTGTAACCTCGGATATTCCGGTGGTGGAATGAAAAATGGGTCGGAATTTTTTTTTGGGGAGAGCCGAGTTCCAATTTCTGTTTGGCTTGTTATAATCACTTCTGGCCGAATGGAAAAGGTATATTTTCTCTCCTTAGCTATCGGTTAATTAGTAAGACCTGTATCACTAAACGACTATTATCTCCAAAAAATAATTCCTACAATTTAAAAATATTTGTTGACTTTAAATAATCTGCAAAAGGGTT